GAGACGCGGTGCTGCTGCATTTGATGGTGCTTATGGTGTGATTGCCAGCGGGTGCTTTGCTGTCACTTTGACGTACCCTCGATTTGTTGAATATGTGATGCGTGCCGACAGCACGAATTGGGTCCGAGTTGTTGTGAGGGACGTGCCCTTTTTGAGCAGTGAGTGCGCTGCAGCCATACACCGTCATTGGGAGGGATGGATGCCCATCCGCATCAACGTATCCACAAGGGACCTGGATGATACCGGGAAGCATTGGATCTCAGAGAGGTACTACGCAATGAATTCATTGAATGACAATTGCGAGTGTGAAGGTGACGTTGTATCCTCTGCGCACGGGATCATTCTTGAGGATGAAGTTGTTCCTGCTGCTTTCAAAACGCATGCGGATCGTCTGCTCGTGCAGCCACTGGAGGGTCCTTTGATTGTGCCCCCATTTGCCACGGGCAGCGTTTGCATTCGGTTTACGGTGCGTGCTGGGCATTGTTCCACTGGTGTTGCCAATGCTGACATGGTGTGTGTGGCAGAGCGCTGTCGGTGGTGGTGCACTCGACGACTGCCGTGATGGCTGCGAGGAGCCCCGCGACTGCGACGACATTGATGGCATGGAGCTGCAGGATGGCGATGGTGACGGGAGGACGCTGGAGTCGCACTGGTCGCAGCGCCACGCGAAGGATGAGTGGATGGCACCGATTGTTTGTGCCGGCTGCCGCACGGAGTTGACGCTGGCCGCACCGGCTGACCTGGGCTGCATGAGGGTGAGGTGGGAGATGGCGGAGCCGATGCGCTGGTGAAGGAATTCGTTCTGTGCGCTGCTGCAGAGGAAGTGCTCCGCACCGAACATGAGTGAATATCCCCAGATGTTCTGAAAAGCGGGCGTTCCTGCCAGACGCTGCACGTTGGATCGGTATTCCAGTGGTTGGTGTGTAGACGAATTATCCATGAAGGGTCAGCAAAACGCCCGATGGACAGTTGCCCCATCATTGGTCCCGCACTGGATGTGAGAGATGCTGCCGCTGTTATTTGGAGGGGAGAATACTTGTCTGCGGTGCCTGGGGACAAGCCCGCTTCGTGGTGTCTGGACACGCCTCCCACCAACACGACGGATGCGAGGGACACGGAAGAAACATACATCTGAGTGCTGTCATGCATGCGGCATTGCGGTGCCTCGGCATGCGGGTGCGTCTGAGAGTGACTGAAAAGGGTAACGCCCGTTGTGCCCCACGCACGGCCGAGGCGACGATTACGTGGGTTGCTCCGCCCTACGACGAGGGAAAAGCTATTTTTCGTGACCACGCGCAGGTGTGCACGATATCCGCCACCAGCGGCAGCTTGCTTCCAATAGTTCCGTGGGGTGGCGATGTGAGAGGGTCTGGAGCAGGACGGTTTCACTGGCATCTACTGAACAAGCTTTGCTACGGGCATCCGTCCCCGATCCAGAGAGCATTGGGACCGGCCGTGGCACACCACCGAAGTATGTGGACACGGCTGCTCCCCAGAAGCATCCGTCGCCAGAGGAGAAGGAAGTCGCCTCCGGTGCCACGACGGCAACGGAGTGCTCTTGCCCAGCGACACCGCGGGTGCACCGCAGGAGGCAGAGAAGGAAAGCGATCTTCCGGACATCGACGATGTGGCCGCCGATGGTGTGACGTCTGTTGTGGGACAATCATTAGGAGATGAAGCCGCCAGCGACAAGGCCGGTGGCGGTGCCACAGCCACGGGACCCAAGGGCCCTGATGCCGCTGATGCCGCGCAGGGCGCTGTGGACCCTCCGCCGAGAGAGGATGATGCGGCGGTGGGGCGCGGGGGTTGGGAGGCAGACATGAAGGACGCCCCGCCCCCGATCCACGGCAATAACACTGCGGCTGCTGCTTGTCCCTTTCCGCTGCTTCTTCTGCTTGCTGCTGCCGCCGCGGTGCCAACACTCAGCAGTGGGTGCAAGAGAGAAAGGCCTATATCAACTGGCATGTCCCTATCAGTATATACATACACTCTGCTTGTCTGTATACTTTGTACCATGGACATGTTGTATGCACTCTCCCTCTTTTGTTGGTTGCTGATGTGTCGGCACCACGCGTGTATTATGGGTTGGGATAAGAAATTGTTTGACTTCTTCTGGAGAATACTGTGGGGTGTTTGTGTGCGTGTGCGAGGGATCTGTGTGCTTTTGATTTCCCTATTTTTATTTAGCTGCTTTGGCATTGTGTAATGATACTTCCTTCTCCATTATGTGTGTTCTGAAGTCTTGCTAGGGCACCGGGAGTGGATGCCTGTGGACGCACGCCGTGCATTATGCGCTACATTGGTGGGAGGGGAGACTGACATAACTGGCGGGATTCAGTAAGGCGCATTTTTGCCCACGGACCCTGCAGACGCAGCAGCCTGAGTGGCGCTTTGCATATGGACGTGTGGATTGTTTCTGTCTTGCGAGGCCTTTTTACTGCGTGTCATTCTCCGCTCGGGTACCGTGCCCGTGGCAGCAGCGGCGGCATCAAAATGGCTGTGTGCGTGGAGCGTCCTTGATTGAGTGCCTGTCT